TTTCATTCAATTTGAAATATTTTGCACCACCAATAATACACATGATTAAACGTGGTGGTTGTACCTTCCAAACTTCGATCATTAATCTCGTGAGAATTTTCGGATCAGTTTCCATATCACAGCGAATGTAATTTGCATGGCTATTCGGTGTATATCCGTATGCATTGTTATAAGCTGATGTGGTGTGAAGTTTAGCATCCCATTTGATATCAGGATCTTCGTAAACACTCCATGAATGTTCACGATGAAGACGATTACAACAACATTGAACATCACTTCGACTTCGACTTCTGAAAAGAGAGATGAAATAGACGAAAGTAATTGAAATGACCTACCGATCGAATTTAGTTTTGTCTTTAGGGATAAATGTTGTGCAAGTTCGTCGTTTGATGTTAAGATCATGGTGAATTGCTCGAGACCAATCTCCGTCGTTTGATAAATTAGTCTAATTTGGAAAAAAATGAAAAATCTTTCAATTAAAATGAATCAATTAATTACTAGACGATAAGTTGATTCCTTATTTTGAACTTTGTTAGAGGTTCGTTTCGGTTTGCAACAGATTGTTGCCATAGTTTAACCTAACAGAAGAAAATTATTCTATGTATAGTAATTCAATGAATTAAAAACATATATGTATTAAAATTTCGCTCCCAAATATAACGTCATAGTTGTCAAAATACAAAAAAACGATACAACATTACCGATGACAGAATCTATGCAATAACCTCCTGCTATTAAGATGAAAAAAAGGAAAAAGAGGTCGCCTTTGTCTCATTTTGAATTTTACAACAAATGACATTCAAATTATTTATCGACTTTCTATGCAGAAGTTCTCTTCCTATTTATTGATTTTCTAAATATATGTTAAACAAAAAAAAAACTCGATTAGAAAAAAGAAATACAAAAACAATCTCTATTTGCCCCAAAATGCCATCACAATCTTCTTTTCAACAATTCCTTGTTGAAGTTTAACAAATGCTTTATGATCATCATGAGCCATATACGTATCTCGATCTTGTTCATTATCAAAACTTAAGAGAAATCCATGAGTAAATCCTTGATTTAAATTTTCTTTTCCAATATGTGTTCCACTTTCAAATGCACGAACTTGAGGAACTTTAGTTGTTGCTAATGCGCGGAATTCACGTTCGATTTTACTAATATCTGTTTGACTAGCTGTATCGTGGAATTTAAAAAGAACAACGTGACGAAGAAGTTGAGCACCGTTTGCAGCACGACGAAGCATTGTCTTAGATTAATGTTCGAATGAAGAAAAGGTTAGAAGCACTCTACAATTTATCTCTACTGTTTAACTTCTAGATAAGAATTGAAAAACGATGAGATAGAGAGAAAAAAAACTAATACAGAACGAAGTAATTGGAGAAGGTGTGATATTTTGTTATCATATGTTCTAATTCTATTGATTGAAAACAAACACAATCTCATGTGGTTGGTTTTGTCTTATGTAAAGAAAGAAGATAAAATATCGAGAAACAAATAGAGAGATTTTAAGTATAAAATTGTTCTTGGATGGGTTTGTTTATAATTTTTCTTTAATTGATTTCGTGTAATTACACGGAAACTTTTAGTTATCTGTAATAATGAAACAGAATCATTAATTGTCTTCAATTTTTAATGTCAATATCAAACTTCTGAAATTCGATTCAAGATATTTCGTAACACGTGGAACTACTAGTCGATGTTATGTCAAATGATTACAACGATGCAATAAGATCACTAAATTTCATAAAATACCAATAAATATTAAACTCAAATCTTACTAAATAAAGTCAATTATCTCGACATCTGGATCTCACTCCTGACAGTTCTATATGATTTAAAACTGATTGTAATTACTCAGCATCAGTCATGAAATGGCACGTATATTTATGCAAGTCTAGAATAGGAAAACTATTTGTGCTGATTTAATCTCTAAATTTTATCTTTAAATTCTTTGTTTGCTTAAATGATAAAAAGAAGAATAAATAGAATATGTTGTGTGAATTAGATTAACAAATTCGCAACTCTACTAGGTACGATGTTTTGTAGAATAGTTGCTTTGTTCTTATGTTTTTCGATGATAATATGTCAATCTGACAATGATGATATATCCATAATTCGTCAGCGTATCCTGGAATTGACTTTGTGGCCAATGAATAAAACAATTCCATCTGTTGTTCAATCTGCTATAAGTTTCAACGAAAAAATGAATAGTTCTTGTTATTGGGAAGATATCAATTATGCTGATAAAACCTTAGCAGTCTGGGCAACTGAAGAGCATCTAAATCGAGTAAATATTATGATTCAAGCGTTGACTGTACCTGGTTCCACTGTACAAAATGATCCTCGACTATCCCGTGGTGCTCATTGCGCTTTAAATGTTTGGCTAACACGCGATTTTTTAAATCCAAACTGGTGGTTTAATCAAATCGGTATCCCATTGTTAGTCACTGGTCAATTATTAATGTTAGGCTCGAATGCAACTGCGTATGAAATCGAAAAAATGACTCAAATATCATTTCGTTCGGATTGGTGGGAACATGATCCAGGTACAGGTGCAAATCTCATTTGGATGGTTCAAATTGAATTATATCGCTCATTGGCAACAAACAATCGAACTGGTCTTGAACAAGGTTTTACACGTATGTGGAAAGATATTGTTGTTCTACCATTAGGTGGACAAGGAATTCAACACGATTGGTCATATCATTTTCATGGTATACAATTAGTATCAGCATCTTATGGACAAGATTGGGCATTAGCTATGACAATATTTATTTTGTGTACAAAAGATACGAAGTATGAAGTCAATCAGGAACAGATGATTATATTCGCAAGATTTTTGATAGAAGGCGATGCTTGGATGATAATGGACAACGTTTGGGATTGGCAAGTAGAGGGACGTGCAATCGATCGAACGGGAAATAACTTTGAAACGTTTGAATTTGAATTGCAACCCGATTGGATTCGATCATTAGGAGATTTAATTGAAATAGATAGTTTAAAAAAAGATTTAACTGATTTTGCCGATCGTCTTGAAAAGAAACCTTCTGCTGTTCCTCTAATCGGTAATAAACACTTCTATACATCTGATTATCAAGTTCATCGTCGTTTAAATTGGACCTGTGCAATTAAAATGCAATCAATCCGAACAACACCAACTGAATGCATAAATATGGAGAATCAAAAAGGTGAACATCTTGGCCAAGGTGTTTTAAATCTCTATACAACAGACTCTATAGTCTATCGTCATATATTTCCTGTATTTGATTGGCAAGCCATCAATGGTATTACAGTTGAACACGACATTCCCATTGAACCTTGTATAAAAGGAAGTTTTAACTGGATTAAATTAAGTTTTGTCGGTGGAGTCAGCGATGGAAGTTATGGTTTAACAATGATGGATACAGCGACACATAATCTTACAGCACAAAGATCGTGGCACTTTTACGATGATGCGATCATTGCATTGGCAAGTAATTTGACTCTTACAACATCGAATACTGTATGGACAACATTAGCTAGTCGAACAGTTTCAACAGGAAAAGTCAATGTTGGATTTTTTGATGGACGAATTGTTACTCTGATGGATGGAGTGAATTATTCGTTTCCCTATACTTCAAATCAATCAACTAATGTTCAATGGATACATATTGGTGAAAGCCAAATCGCGTATGTATTTCAAAATCAAGGTCTATATTCCCATATAGGCGCAGAGATTAGTACAAAAACTGCACCGTACAGTACAATTGGGCCTTATAACGGTACAGTGACCAAACGTACAGCGACTGTATGGATTGATCATGGAATGGGACCATATATACGTGATTATAATTATATGATTTTACCAAATATTGATCTTGAATCTGTACTAACTCGAATAGAACTTTATAAAACTGATCAAATCTTTACTTGTATTTCGACAAATCCTCTTGTTCATGGAATTGCCTGGTCAACACTTCATCGTGCATCGTTTGTCGTCTGGAATGATCTTCCAACAAAGTTTTCCTGTCAAAATTCTTTGTTTACATTAAACATTCGATTAAATTCTTCTTCTGGTGTTTATCTATTCAATGAAACTTCAACTGATTTTTCCATCACTGTTTCTCATCCAATACATGTCAACAGTTCAATAACAATAAATCTCGATCGTATTGGCTATGGACCGAATTGTATCTGTCAATCGGATAATACAACAGATGTTTCAATAGATTTACCATCATCTGGACAATTCTTGGGTTCATCAATAACAGTAACATGTTCCAAGAAGGAAGAAAAACATCAATCAATATAACAATAAGTTGTAGTTCTCTTATCACATCGAGTTTTTCTTTTTCTGCAACTCGAGACAATTTGTTAACTCGTACGATTCGAATGTGAAAAAACTTGAGTGCAAACTAATAAAAAAAGTCACAAAAATGAAATAATAAAACAATCTTTTATCGCATTATCACGCTGTTATCATCGAATATCCAAGAATAAAAGTCGTTGTCCTTGCCTCCAAGAGAGTTTTTCAAAATAAAGTATCTATTACTTTGAGAGCAATTAAACATTAATCTTTTTTGATGAGTTGATTATTAGCATATAAATCTTTGATTTATGTCGAACAGACGTTTGATTCAATCGAAATGCAAAGTCAAAGTAAGTTTGATCCAGTATATTCATACGATATCAAGGTCAGATTGTTTTGAAGAATCATATACTAGATGAGATATACAATGCTTCGGATAATTAGTGAAAAGAAAGTTCTTCGAATGAGAATTTGTTTTCCTTAATTCAACAATCTGTTTCTCATCGTTCTTCTCCCATCATTAGTTTTGCTGTTTCCTCTGTTTATATATCGATATCTTTCTCTTCCCCATGAGCGTGCATATAATCTCTGTTATATGTCATTAAAGACAATTGATCCGATACTATCGATGGCTGATAATAGAGTATGGCTACGTAAGATAACCTTGTTTCTACTTAACACTTTCTTTTTGTTATTCGATCTAAATAACATGCTGCATGTTCGCTTAGGATCTGTCTTACTAACTGTGTTGTTGATTCAATCGTTTGCGAAATTTGCTCATGCTGGCCGAACAGATTGGTCAATTGAGAAGAATGCATCGTTTTGGAGAGAAGAAGCTCGTTTGTCTATTGATGAGATTCTGAAAAAACGTGATAATACACGAATAGCAAAGAATGTTATTATGTTTCTGGGCGATGGAATGGGAGTATCAACGGTCACAGCTGGACGAATTCGGAAAGGACAAGTTAATGGACAATTAGGTGAAGATCTTGTCACAGAAATGGAACAGTTCAGCCACTTGGGTTTATCAAAAACGTGAGTGATTCTTTTGATAGAGAAGACTTTCAATATTGATGTTTTTTTCTTCAGTTATAATATCGATCATCAAACGCCTGATTCAGCTGCTACAGCAACTGCGTATTTATGTGGTGTTAAAGCTCAGTTAGGAACGATTGGTGTCGATGGACGAGCAAAACGAAGTGACTGTTTGAGCTCTCTTGGAACAAATGTATCAAGTATTCTCAATTGGGCCCAGGATCTCGGTACAATTTCTTTCATAATTGATGGATCTTTTCACTTTCGAATTTCAATTAAGGTCACAAAGTCGGTATTGTCACTACTGCTCGTATCACTCATGCAACACCATCAGCAGCTTACGCACACATTCCCGAACGGAATTGGGAAGGTTACGATACACGATATTTTGGCGCGACTCAAGCTCAGCAAGGTTGTGTAGATATTGCTGAGCAACTTGTTCTTCATTCTCCACCGATCGATGTTCTATTCGGCGGAGGTCGTCGATATTTTTATCCAAATACGGTACGTGATGTCGAAAATGCATCTATATTCAATTCACGTACAGATCAAAAATCACTTGTTGATGATTATTGGAAAGGACGTTTCATTTGGAATAAAACTGAAATGAATAAAATTCCATTTGGATCACCCGAACCTATCCTAGGTTTATTTGAATACGATCATATGCAGTATGAAAGTGATCGATTGGCCTATGGAAATGACGAACCAAGTTTAACAGAAATGACAAGATTTGCTTTAGAACACTTGTTGGCAACAAATCAGGGATTCTTTCTTTTAGTTGAAGGTGGAAGAATCGATCATGGACATCACGAAACACGTGCAAGATACGCTTTAGATGAATATGTTCAATTAGATGATGCTATCGGACATGCGAAGCAATTCTTAAAAGATCGTGGTGTTCTCAATGAAACACTTATGGTAGTCACAGCTGATCATTCACATGTCTTTTCATTCGGTGCATATGCATCCCGTGGTTCAAATATCTTAGGTTTTGGATCATTAGAACAGTTGAATGTAAGTGATGTCGATCGATTACCGATTAATATCATTGCCTATGGAAATGGACCTAATTATGCATCTGCACGAAATGCAACTTATTTATATTCATTAGACACAAATTCAACGAAATATTTATCACCAACAGCTTTACCAATGAAAGCTGAAACACATGGCGGTGAAGACGTACCGGTGTATGCGGAAGGACCTTGGAGTCATTTATTTACTGGAACAATGGAACAACATACAATTGCACATAAGATGGCCTATGCAGCATGTTGGGGAGAATATGTCAATCGAGATGGATGTGTTTCCAATGGAACACAAATAAATCCTTCAACAACAACTACTGCCACACGAGCATCTTCTTCAACAACATCCACTGGAACACAAACAAATCATAAAATAACATTAATACAAATTAGTATTTTGTTCTTTCTTCTGAAAATAATCAATGATTAATTCAGTATTTTCTTTTGTAACTCCGATTCTCTACTTTCAAGTATATTTTAATAAATAAACAATAGCACCAAACGATAACCATTTTGTCATTCTCAAGATAATCTAATAAGTGTTCCAATTCATTGTAAAATACACCTAAAACAAATCTCATCAAACACTCTATCGAATGTTATCTACAATTGTTAATATCTCGTATTGTATTTATTTAAGTAACACAAAAAAAAGTTTTGTTAAGATAAATTCTATACACAAAGATAATTTATAATATTGTGAATATTTCCAAAAGAAATTTGTTATTCAAAACCAAATTGAAAGAGATTTCTCTAGAAGATATTTTACATAAGGTTGTTTGATTCGAGATGAATACCAACTCGAAATGGATTCTTGTACATTTTCTTCGTCAATAATTCGAACTGCATCGATATAAAGATAATTGATTTGAGAAAATTTTTCTAATAAAAGTTCTTTGATGACGGTGTGAAGACTTAAATCTTGTGTTCCATCGTACATCGATGATAAATAAATCGATTTGACATTGGGAAGTTTTTCAACAAGTTCATTTGGAATGAAACAATATTTTTCTGGAAATTCCAAATCTAATTGTTGAATTCGAGTGAGAAAATTTGTTCGAAGAAAATATTCTAATTGTCGAATTGTTGTTGATAAACGTTTGATAAACTTAAAACGTTGATAAAGTTCATTCTGAAGATTTAATGAAAGATCGAAATACGAACACCAATATTGACTACGAATGATTAAATGAGAAATTTCATTTGAATAATCAATATGATGAAAATTTTCAATCGATTCGTTCAGATAAAGTCGATCTAAACGATCAAACTTTGATGAATTTATTCGAAATGAATTCTTCAATGAATTATAATCAACTGAATATTTGGGAAATTCATATTTCCATTCTTGAATATCTGAATAATGTACATCGTAATTCTGTGATAAATGAAGATCGAATCGTTCAAGATTTAAATAATTAGAAAGTAAAATTTTCCATGATTTCGCTTTGATCGTTGTTGTTTGACCAATAAATGCCAAGCGTTGAAGATTTGTACTGGATGGAAGAAGAAATTGAATTAAATAAAAGGGAATTTGACAAATTTCTAATTGATAATCGAGTAAATATGGAAAGATTAACGAACGATGATAGTCGCTTTTATCAATTGAAAATATGGAAACATAAAGTTTCTCGAGATGAATGGGAAGATGAAGTTGAAATAATTGGAAATATTCGGATAATTTCGAAAATATGATTCGCATATGAACAAGAACTGAAGTTGATAAAATTTCCAAATGATTAGCCAAATAACTAAAAATATCAAATTAATTTTTTCGTTTTTTGTTTTTGTTAAAAAATCAGATTTCATTTACTGTTTCGCATCATCTCCGGTTTCAAATTCGATATGTAATCGCTTAATTGATGTTGATAATAATTTACAAGGTTTACACGTTTGATTAAATGATGTAATGACTAGATTTAATGTTTCTGGACGAAATTGTCCCAAGAAATCATCTTGTAAATCGATTCCGTGATCGATAAGTTTTATTTGCGATAAATTTTCAAGTCGAATCGAGCGAGTTTGATCGAAAAACGTCCTTCCGATATGATAATCATCGAATGTGAATGAATAAATCGAATTTCGTATAAATGGAAGAAACTTTTGTGCATATTTATCGATTTGTTGTTTGGATAATACCGATGAAAAATTCATATGATGAATATATTTGAAAAGAAGATGATTTATTCTGGAATTCAATTGTAAACACGATTCTAACAGATCATATTTGGTTAAATAAGAAAATATCATGAAAAACAATTCATTTGGTAAATCTTCTAAACACAACATTTTCGCCATTTGTTTATTCATTTGGTTTCACATTGAATTCTTTCAGTTATATATGTACAAATCATGGTATTCTACTGACGAAACACAAAGACATAAACGAACAAATTAGAAACATTTGGAGTATGTTTTTCTTTGAAATCAGAACGAGTAAATCAATCGGTTGACTTAGTATACTGGGGAATTGATGTGATTAATATCGGTTCGAATCTAAGGAACGGAACATATTCGATTTGCATGAGATTAATTCGAAAAATCACTTGAAAACATTATTGAAGTGAAAAACAACTTGTGCAAAGATAAAAAATTGAGATTTCGCTATCGACATTCAACTTCACAATGTGTTTGTCGTTAGTAAATTTCATACAATTATAAGAAAAACAAAACACAACAAAATCTCGACCAATCGTTATCATTTCTTCTTCAATAATAAAAGTTACGTACCTATCTTATCTTAGTCATTTCTTCTTACTATTTGCAAACGATGTTTTATCGAAATTCTCTTCGAAAAATTCATACATTGATTAATCATAAACTTTACCCGTTAAATGATCATCAATCGGATAGATTTAATCAATTAATAACGACTAGTCGAGGAGAATTTCATTCTACAGGTTGTTTGTATCTTCCGAACTTTTTAACTCAATCAACACTTTCAACAATTCTTCATGAAATTGATTCAATTGTGAAAGATTTTTCACAAAATTTGTTTCATTCGTATGTTCAACACACCGATAATCTTTATAACATTTCATCAAATTCTTTTGAAATGGAATCAAGTAGTAAAACAATCATTGCCTACGATCAAATTCCATCCAATTCACTTCTTCGAAAAATCTATTCATCAAATTCATTAATTCATTTTCTAACACAAATCATTCAAATTTATCCTCAACTTTACCCAAGTTGTGATAAATTAGGTGCATTATATGTCAACATCTATCATCAAGCGAATCAACTCAGTTGGCACACAGATCATTCTCACTTCTTTATTAATCTTCTTTTACAACAAGCATCGAATCCTAATGAAGGAATTTTTGAATACAAAACTGATGAGAAAATTATCTCTCGGCATGATTTTCAGTGCGGTGGACTTGTTATGTTCAATGGTCGAAAGTATCTTCATCGTGTAACGAAAGTTCATACATCGAAATCACCTCGAATTAACGCGATTCTCACTTATGATTGTACACGTGAACATCAGTTAAGTGAATATGTTTTAAAAAAGTTTTTTGGACGTACAACGTGAAGAAGAAAAAAAGAGAAATAAATTATAATTTATACACATTTAAACTCTTCATTTTTCGAAAAGAAAAATGATGTGTTCACGAGAGAAATTTAGTAAGAAAATTCAAGAAATAAAAGATGAAAATTATTGAATTTCGTCAATTGTAGATGTCAACGGATGTTGTTCACTTTTGAGTAATTCATCGTTTTTCTACAACGAACAAAGAAGAAATGAATAGATAAGAAATTGAATGAAAAACTTACGATTGATTTCGAATCTAAGGTTTTTAAATCTAAACAGGATTGATTCTCTTTCTTAGGTGTTTCATTTGGATACGAGTTTTTATCGCCTGAGTATTTTTTCCATCGATGCCAAAGTTGTGTTGTTTGAAAACGTCGTTTTAACGTTTCTTGAACCTTAACACAACACAACTCATTGAAAAGTTCGCAAAAAAAGAAACAAAACGTTTACTTCAGCATTGAGAAAACAGTAGAACAATGCACAATAGAAGCCTTGTGGAGCAACTAAGATTACATTTACACAGCAGTAAATCGCAAATATGGTGATTGGTTTATCATCTAAACAGAATTCTTTTCGTATTGCTTTACTTTTCAATAAACTTACAAGCTGAAACGAATGTTTCCAAAACATGTGTGATACCTAATAAAGGCAACAGAAAAATAGCAGCTTTCACTGTTTGTCGGACGAATTTCGCATGCATAGACGCTCGACGTCGACTGAAAAACAAAACAAAAACGATTTGAGTAAAATAGAAGAAAAATTATCAATTTTGATTGATTAATATTAGTCAAATGTCATCGAGTAGTGAATTACCGATGTGTGAAATGTTTTATGCGTGATACAACATTATTTCGGTGGGTATTATATTGCCTATTTGGAAACTAATATGGATGTATGAGAATCCTAGTTGAATACTTACTCTTCTCGAACTTGTTTTTCTGAACCTTCTTTCATTTTCACCATTAAAACTCGAAGAATATTCAATAAAAAGATAATATTTATCTTAAAGAATAAGAAAAAAACAACAACAGCATTCTTGTCAATTGAACAAAAATATTTGTCATTTACAATCATAACAGCATAACGTGGTCCATCAATGATCCAATAATAGATCAGGTGATTGTAATTATAAAAACATCTAAAAAACAAAAAATATCATCATCACAAACATCAACATGTCGAACATTACCGTCGTTCACGTTGTTTAATCACCATAACAATAGTCCAACTCAATGTTATACAAAATGGGAGAACTAAATATTCAAATGAATGTTTCCAAAGTCAAACAATTGACCTCTCAACTTACACCAACCAAGTATATGAAAATAAAGTGTTTTAAAGTAATTTTTAAAAACTCCAACGGTTAAAACATTATTAAGTTGAATTCCTTCACACAACATCCACATAAACATCGCAGTTTTACCAAATTGTAGAAGTACGGTAATTAGAGGACAAAACACACTGAATAAACTTCTTCCAAGTGACGAATGGAGATGATTATCGACATTACATTCACCGGGTGAATTTTGCGAAACCATTTGAAATCTAAATCAAAATTTATGTTCTTATTTTAGACAATTTTCAAGTAAATACTAACGCGTAGGCACTTAATCGAGCAATGGTTTGGATGAGAATGGCTAATAAAAGATTGACATGAATCTTTGTTCGCTCGCAGTACAATGTTCTACGGTAAAGATCAAAGATTCAAATAAAAAGAACGAGCTGACTTACCTGAAGGTGAAAAAGATGAATAATGAAATAAGAACGGTAGTTAACGAGAGTGATAATCCACCGAGTTCACCATAACGAGCAAATCGGACCAATTTTGGAAAGATCTATTTATTCAAAATCCAATGAAAATCAAATAAATCCTCTTAACAAACTTCTCTTTCGCT